GTACTTGCATTTGCCTTCTGCGTCTCTCTCTCTGGTGTTCCCACAAGTGTGCCAGTATGTCGCAGACATTCCACAGACATCCAGCCCTGCCAGCTCACCAGGACCACCTGGAAACCCAGCAGAGCACTGTGATGGACATCCTTCAGCCCAAAGCAGCCAACAATCTGCAATGGCAGAGAAAGGAACAGTGAGACTGCGACAAAAGTGGACACCTGACACCCAGCCTGAACCACCAGGATCTGACCAGCATCATCCTCTCCTTGCCCTCAAGGGCCTCAGACAGGAGGTAAATGAGCTGAAACTGCAAGTCACAGAATTCTGCAGAGAACTGACACCTGCTCAACGAGAGAAGGCACAGAACGGATGCAAGGAACCTTCACAGAATGGTGCAACAGAAGGAAATCACCAGTCTTCAGGAGGCTCTAACAGCCGCTGGACACCAAGCGCCGCTAGGAAAAGCCATCAGACAGGACTTGGAAAGAGAACTGTTTCACACAAAGTCACTGTTAAAACAGCATATGTGGAACTAACTGAGAGAGACACCAGATCTAAGGCCTTAGAAGGCCATCTGCATGCAGCCAGAGCTGAGGTCCAAACCCTGACTCAGCAATTAAAGAGGAGCTTGACATGGTTCAGAAAGAATTTAAACAGTCCAACCGACTGCGCATGGACTCAAGCAAAAATCACATCACCAGCAGTGCAAGCCCCTCCAAGCCTGTGCACAGCTACGAAAGGGGGGAAAGGGAGCCAAAGCCTTCTGCTTGACACTTCACAAGTCAGCTCCCTGAAAACCCTGAAAACCTCTGCAGCTGCAGAAAAAAAAATAAAAATTCAGGCAAACCGAAACAACGCAGCCAGCCTGCAAGCAGCCCGAGGTGAATTCAATGTCACAAATGAACTGGAATATGCTTGCAGACCACAAGGTGAACAGACAGGGAAAACACGAAACAGAACTTCCCCTGGCAAGCAGGCCCAGACCCCCTCAGCCAAGAGTCCGAACCTGCGAGGGGGGGGGCGAGAGCCACTGTTCACACGTCACCAACCAGCAGCCACAAGGGGGTGGGGCAGGGACCTTTCCAGAGGATCACTGCAGACACACACACCGTGTGACCCCACAGACCCCAACGAGCTGGCCAGAGACAATACATCTGGCAACCTAAATACTGCAGAGACCCTGAGGACATCAAAGGAACTGATCCTGCAGTCTCACCAGCAGTTTAAACAAGCCATCATAAAGGAATTCTCAGACCCAGAGTCTGAACATGGACTGATCGCTGCTGATTCTGAACTTCACAACTCAGAATCCAAAGCGGGCACCAGAAGGCACCCAGCATTGCCACAATGCAAAACCCTTCTACAGAAAGCCCCTAGCCAGAAGAGGACAGAGCCATCACCATGGCAACAGACCCAGGTTCCAGACCAACCACTGGGAAAAGCAATGGAAAAAAGGCATCCTCATCCTGCAAACACCACGGTATGTCCAACAGCAGTCCACCACAACATCCTCCTCCACACCCTTCACACAGGTGCCGAACGGAGGCTACACAAGGACAGCTGGACACGCCTACTTCTGGGTTACAGGAGCTGCTGACACTCGCAAAAGAGCTCCTTGAACAAAACTCAACTAAGGAGCATCCCTTGAAACCGGTCGACACCCCAGAAGCAGCCAGACAACGTTGGATTGAGCAACGGGCCCACATGCCCAACAGCGAAAGCTCTACCAACACAACTCAGGCAAGCTCAAGTCGGTGCCGCCACAAGAGCCAAGCGACACCGCAAACATCAGATTTCTAGTGACGTTTGAGCAAAACAGAGGGCTAACAACCACCTGCTGCTCTCCTGCCATCATCACTAGGATGACAGGTGACACAGCCTAGACACCTGCTGCATAAGCTCGAGGACCCACACCTTGCTACAGCCTACATCACCACAGCGCACCACCTGACAGCATCCACCACGGCACCACAACCACTCCTGGAGGCACCAACAGCCAGAGAGCCACCACTGTCTACCAGCCGTGAGTGGCAGGTGTGTGTTCGATTGTTCTGCACCTTTGACATCGCTCGTTGTTGTCTATTCTACGGACAACAACGCCCGAAAAGGGGGGAGTTTGTAGCGTCTGGACCAATCAGACACACCATTTTTCATTTGATTTAACAAATCAATTATTCATTAGATTAACAAACATTCACAGACCCCTC